GTTGGACACACACATCGGTGTGCAAATGAACTTGATAGTGGCCTTGGGAGACAACAGAGGAAGAGTTAAGACCGTGGAGTGGAGGTTCAGACAGTCCTGGAGTCTCTGCTGCCTCCTGCACCTACCAGCTGTGGGACCCTGGACAAGCCACCTCCTCTCTCAGCCTCAGTTTCCCTGTCTGTAAAATGGGGACAAGACAGTGTCTCTCCTGAGGAGTCCAGACTTCCCATGACCTCACAGCCTTCATTGTTTATTCTCCCCTCACCCACTCAGCCCCCTACTGGCCGTCTTGCAGTTCCCAAACCTACAGACCCCTTTCACTGCAGGGGGGCCCTTGGTGCCACCTTTTCATAGACCCGCATAACTTGTAATGTCATATATTGTATTTATTTACTTTCTTTTTCTTCCAGAATATAGAGATCAGTAGGGCAAAGATTTTTTTTGGAAGGGGTATCTTTTGTGCTCATTGCTGTATCCTCTACAACTATGAGGGTGTACACAGTAGGTGCTTGATAAATATTTGCTGAAAAGAGGTGGGGGAGAAAAGGAAGGCAGATGGGAGAAGAGGGAGGGATGAAGGGAAAGAGGGAGGAAAACAAAGGGAAAACACTAACCCAGATAAAGAACTTGGCTGGTTAAACAGAATCTGGTCTCTATACACAATGGAATAGCATTCAGCCTTAGAAAAGGAAAGAAATCCTGGCACATGCTACAACGTGGATGAATGTTGAGAACATTAGGTTGAGTGAAATAAGCCAGTAACAAGAGGACAAATATAATATGATTCCTTTTGGCCAGGAGCAGTGGCTCACACCTGTAATCCCAGCACTTTGAGAGGCTGAGGTGGGAGGAGGATCACTTGAGCCCAGGAGTTCAAGACCAGCCTGGGCAGCATAGGGAGACCCCATCTCTACAAAAAAGAAAATTTTAATTAGCTGGGCATGGTGGTGTGCACCTGTAGTCCCAGCTACTCAGGAGGCTGAGGTGGGAGGATCACTTGAGCCCAGGAGGTTGTGGCTGCAGTGAGCTATGACTGCACCACTGCACCACTGCACCACTGCACTCCAGCCTGGGTGATAGAGTAACACTTATCTCTTAAAAAAAAAAAAAAAAAAAAAAAAAAGGCTGATTCCTACTGATTCCTATTATGTCAGGTACCTAAATCTAGAGTAGTCAAATTCATAAAGACAGAATGTAGAATGATTGTTGCCAGGGGCTGGGGGACGGAGAAGCAGGGAGCTATCATTTAGTGGGTGCACAATTTGGGAACAATGAAAATGTCTGGGGGAGTTAGAGAGTAGTGATGGCTATACAGCAATGCGAATCTGCTGAATCCCATTGAACTGTACCTAAAAATGGTTAAAATGCTAGATTTTACGCTTTTTTTTTTTTGGTAGATATGGAGCCTCACTCTCTTGCCCAGGCTGGAGTGCAGTGGTGTGATCCCGCCTCACTGCCTGCCTCAGCCTCCCAAGTAGCTGGGACTACAGGCGCGCGCCACCATGCCCAGCTAATTTCTTTTGTATTTTAGTAGAGACAGGGATTCACCATGTTGCCCAGGCTGGTCTCAAAACTCCTGAATTCAGGCGGTCCGCCCTCTTTGGCTTCCCAAAGTGCTAGGATTACAGGCGTGAGCCACTGTGCCCGGCCTATGCTATGTTTATTTTACAACAATTAAAAAATGGTGAAATTTTCTTAAAGTTTAAACATTTTTAAAAAGGTCTCATCTGTCAGGCACAGTGGCTCACACCTGTAATCCCAACACTGGGAGGCCAGGGTGGGTGGATCACCTGAGGTCAGGAGTTTGAGACCAGCCTGGCCAACATGGTGAAACCCCGCCTCTACTAAAAATACAAAATTTAGCCAGGTGCGGTGGCGGGCGCCTGTAGTCCCAGCTACTTGAGAGGCTGAGGCAGCAGAATTGCTTGAACCCAGGAGGCAGAGGTTGCAGTGAGCCGAGATCCCGCCACTACACTCCAGCCTGGGTGACAGAGTGAGACTCCGTCTCAAAAAAAAAAAAAAAAAAAACAACAAGGTTTCATCACAGTCCCTGGCTTTGCTGAGCACAGAATACATGTGACCGATTGTTTTTGTTCCAAGTGCTATCCGGATTTTCCTTTCTCATAAACAGCCATCACTGTCAAGCTCCCTTCTCCTCCCCTAACAGCCGAGAGCTGTCTGCACCTGTGGTCTCCTCTGCTCCTCCCAGCTTCCACCCCTAGCACACCACAGAAAACCTTTCTCTCCAGAATCACCCATCACCTGTCTTCCTTCCAGAGGCATCTGGCCCCGCCCCCGCCCCCGCCACTCCCTCATTTAAAAAATGCTCTCTGGGCCGGGCGCGGTGGCTCAAGCCTGTAATCCCAGCACTTTGGGAGGCCGAGACGGGCGGATCACGAGGTCAGGAGTTCGAGACCATCCTGGCTAACACGGTGAAACCCCGTCTCTACTAAAAAATACAAAAAACTAGCCGGGCGAGGTGGCGGGCGCCTGTAGTCCCGGCTACTCGGGAGGCTGAGGCAGGAGAATGGCGTAAAAACCCGGGAGGCAGAGCTTGCAGTGAGCTGAGATCCGGCCACTGCACTCCAGCCTGGGCGACAGAGCGAGACTCCGTCTCAAAAAAAAAAAAAAAAAAAATGCTCTCTGGCTGGGCACAGCACGCTGGCTCACGCCTGTAATCCCAGCACTTGGGGAGGCCAAGGCAGGCAAATTGCTTGAGCCCTGGAGACCAACCTGGGCTACATCGTGAGACCCCGTCTCTACCAAAAAAATACAAAAATTAACTGGTTGTGGTAGCACGTGCCTGTAGTCCCAGCCACTCAGGAGGCTGAGGTGGGAGGACTGCTTGAGGCCAGGAGTTCAAGGCTGCAGTGAGCTGTGATTGCACCACTGCACTCCAGCCTGGGCAACAGAGTGAGACCCTGTTTAAAAAGAAATAAAAGCTCTCAACTTTCCCGACACTGCTCCCTCCTGGTGTCCCTCTTAGCTCTTCAATCACTCCTACCCCTGGGGTAGCTGTGAGTCTTCAGTGGGGTCCTCTCACCGTATACCCTCTCCCTAGGTGGGCTCCACACCGCTGGTGTCCAGTGCCATCTGTGCCATGACGCCCCATCACTCTGAGCTCCAGACCCGAGTATCCCAAAGGATTCTGCTCTCCCCTACTCAGGATCATGCCACCACCCCCCATTACCCTTGGAGTAAAATTCTCACCCCTGCAGCACCAGGGCCCTACTGGTCTTGGCCACTCCTCTCTCCTATGCTCTGAGCTCTCTCACCATCCTCCTGCCCCACCATCCCTACTGGAAACCACTCACCTCCCTGCTCCCCTCTCCTCACACTGTCCATCCTCCCTGGCAAACTCCTATTCATCTGCAGAACCCGGCTAAGACAGCCGCTCCTCCCGGAACCCTTTCCCACACCTGGGGCTCCATCCAGCCCCTCAGCCTCCTCCGGGGGAGCACATGTGACACCAGATGGAGTTTCCCGTGGCCCCGCTGGCCTGTCTCACCAGACCGTGAGTTCACACAGGAGCAGCGACTGAGGCCTGTGTTCATTCATTCGTCAGATCTTTGTCGATGCCCGTGGCACAGCAAACAAGACCATGCCAAGCAGGTGGTGGAGTGGTGGAGCGAGATACCCCGGGAACCTAGAGTGTGGTGGGAAGAGGACCCAGCAACCCGGCCACGGCACGACGGGCATTGAGGGCCGGGCTGGGGGCGGCGGGTCCTTGGGAGCCACGGGCAGTGAACAGGGTCTCATCGGCTACATCTCCAGCTGTGTCCCTACCTTTGAGCTGAAGGCCTTGGGAAGCCTTCCAGGCATTCTGTGCCCTGGCTCAGGCTCTGCATAAACACAAGAACCCCCTCTTTATTTATTTGTTTGTGTGTTTGTTTGTTTATTTATTTATTTTGAGACAGAGTCTCACTCTGTCACCCAGGCTGGAGTGAAGTGGCTCAGTCTTGGCTCACTGCAGCCTCTGCTTCCCGGGTTCAAGCGATTCTCCTGCCTCAGCCTCCTGAGTAGCTGGGGCTATAGGCACACACCACCATGCCTGGCTCATTTTTTTTTTTTGTATTTTTAGTAGAGATGGGGTTTCACCATGTTGGCCAGGCTGGTCTTGAACTCCTGACCTCAGGTGATCCGCCTGCCTTGGCCTCCCAAAGTGCTGCGATTACAGGCGTGAGTCACCGCGCCTGCCCACCCTCCGCCCACCGTTTAAAGAAAGGATTCTTTTGGATCCCAGGGAAAGAGTGGCATAAAGGAGCCGCTCTCGGGCTCCTGGGGGTTGACCAAGGCCTTCTGCTTAAATAGAGTTTCTTTTTAGGAACAAGGAGACCTTGTGTTTACTAGGAAATTCTGTTTTATTTTTAACTTTTTCCTTTGAGATAATTACAGACCACAGGAGGCTACACACACAGTGTCGGGAATCTCCCTCACCTCCTTCCCCCCCGTGGCGACACCTTGTGTAACTGTAGGTCCAGAATGGAAACCAGGAAATCAGCACAGAAACCAAACTATTAACGAGACTGCAGATCACACTGCGGGTTCATTTTTCACACGCGCTTCTTTGCACACGTGTGTGTGTGCACACGTGGGCTTCTGTGTCTCTTTATCTCATGTGTAGAATCGTGTCATCACCGCCACATCCAGCGCAGAGATGATTCGTCACCACAGAGCGGCTCCCTCCTGCTGCCCCATCCCTGGGTCCCAAGAGAATCCTTTCTTAAAAGAGGGGGTTCTTGCCGGGCGCGGTGGCTCACGCCTGTAATCTTTGCACTTTGGGAGCCCAGGGAGGGTGGATCATTTGAGGTCAGGAGTTTGAGACCAGACTGGCCAACATGGCGAAACCCCGTCTCTGGCGAAACTAAAAATACAAAAAAATGAGCCAGGCATGGTGGTGGGCGCCTATAGCCCCAGCTACTCAGGAGGCTGAGGCAGGAGAGTCGCTTGAACCCGGGAGGCAGAGGTTGCAGTGAGCCGAGATTGAGCCACTTCACTCCAGCCTGAGCTAAAGAGCGAGACTCTGTCTCAAAAAAATATATATGTAAATAAATAAAAAATTTTTTAAAGTAAATAAATAAATAAATAAAACATAAAGAGGGGGTTTTTGTGTTGACGCAGAGCCTGAACCATGGCAGAGGAGGCCGGGAAGGCTCCCCGAGGCCTTCAGCTCACACAAAGCAAGACGGCCCGTAGTTAAACAGAAACAGTTCGGGAATCACAGAAAGGCACCTGGGGAGAGATGGACGTGTGCATCCAGATGCAGGTGCACAGACAGTGCGTCCCCAGGTGCAGAGACAGATCCAGGCCAAGTACCAGCTCAAAGCGCCAACCTAGGTGGGTGTCCAGGTAGAGGGAGGCTGAGTCAGGCTGAGGCCGGGGTAACAGTTGGGGTAGCCGAGGGAGGCAGGCAGCCTCCTGAGTCACCACGTGGTCCAGGTATGGGGCTGCCCAGGCCCACAGACAGACACAAGCATTGGGGAATGTAAGGGGCTGGGGGAGGGGCTGAGGAGGGTAGGCCCTCCCCCAAATGAGGATGGAACCCCCCCAACTCCAGAACCCCTCTGCAGGCTGGCCAGATTCCTTCCCCACCTCATTCACTCTCTCTCTCCTGTTCTCTAACCTCTACCATTTTGAATTTCCGACCCCATCTCTTAAGACTCTGTCCTTCTGTGTCTGAATCTCTGTCCCCTTCTCTTTCTGGGTCTCTGTCCCCCTCTCTGGGTCTCTGTCCCCCTCTCTGGGTCTCTGTCACTCTCTCTTCGCATCTCCAGCTCTCACTTTGTCTCTGTACCTAGCTCTTCCCCACCCCTCTGCAGATCCCAAGTTGGGGAACGGCAGTTCTGGCGCCAACCTTCCTGCTCCCTGCTGGGGCCTCTGCTCCCCCATCTCTTAGGAGTCGAAAGTGAGAAAGCAAGGTGGGCAGCTCTGCTCCAGGTCCAGGTATCTCCCACCCACCTCCTGCCTGTCTTCCATCCCACCCCGCCTCTCCATCTCTCCCTGGCGCTGCCACCTCTCATCTCTGCCTCTGTCTCCTCTGTTATTGTCCCCATCCCCTGTAGGTGCCCATCCTTCCTGTCTCCCCTCTGCCATCAGCCTGCCTGTCCTGTCCTCTTTCTCCCACCATGTCCCGTTCTCTTCCACGTCTCATGCCCACACTGCCTTCATCATCATCATCATCACTGTTGTTCTGTGTGTTTGTGGTGAGTGCCTCATGGTGGGGGCGTCTCAGCCTCTCTCCCCTCTCTCCACTGTTTTCTCTTTCTGTGTGTCTGTTTGCATTCTGTCTCCACCTTCTTGCCTCCGTCTTTGGCTTTTCTCTCTCCACTTCTCCACACCCGTCTCTCTCTGCACCTCTGTGTCTCCCTCTTCCTCTGTCTTTTTTTCCCACCATCTGCCTTTCCTGTTCCCTGTCACAGCCAGCTTCCACCTCTTTCTCCATCTCCCTCCTCAGTTCCTTCTCTCATGAGCACATCTCCCTCTGTGCTCGCATTCCTGGACCCCTCTCTCTCCACTGTCGTATCTTCTCATTCATTTTCCCAGCCCCTCTCTCTCTCCCCTCCCTCTCCCTCTCTCTCACTCTCTGTCTCTGTGTGTGTGTGCGTGTGTCTATGTATCTCTCTGTCTGTCTCTGTCTTTCCATCTCTCTCTGTCTCTCCATCTCTGTCTCTCTATCTCTGTCTCTCTGTCTCTGTCTCTCTGTCTCTGTCTGTCTCTCTGTCTTTGTCTCTGTCTGTCTCTGTGTCTCTCTGTCTCTCTCTCCATCTCTCCCTGTCTCTCTCCGTCTCTCTCTGTGTGTGTCTCTGTCTGTCTCTCTGTCTCTCTGTCTCACTCTCTCTGTCTCTCTGTCTCTCCATCTCTTTCTGTCTCTCTATCTCTCTCTCTCTCCCCCCCCTACTGTGACTCCCTCTCTCAGTGCCTCTCTTCCTCCCTCTCTCAGCCCCTTCTTGCCCTTTCCTCTGAGGCTCCCCACCCTGGTTTCCTGACTCCACCACCAGATCCACCACCTCCAGCAACTGAGAACCCTCCCGTGCCCACCCTGCCCTGGCGTCCCCTCCCAGGATTCCTTCTAGATTATAGCATCTTCCGGGGGCGGGTTCTCATGAACAATTGTGGCTGCTTTTTTGGCCAGAGAGGGGAGGGAGGGGATGGGATCAGGGAGTTCTGGAATGGGAACTAGGCAATAAAAAAAAAAAAAAAAAAAAATCAGAAGCAGGGCAGCAGGAGGTGGGGGCAGGGCCAGCTGTCCTGACCAGGGATAAAAGGCTTTGCCAGCGTGACTAGGAAGAGAGACACCTCCCCTCCTTCCTTCACCAAGACATCAAGGAGGGACCTGCGCCCTGCTCCTCATCCTCCCGCCTGTCGCCCGCAGAGCCTGCAGGCCCCGCCCTCCTGGTCTCTGGTCCCTACCTCTCTGCTCTGTCTTCATGTCGCTGAGGGTCTTGGGCTCTGGGTAAGTGGCCCTCGCTGTCTCTGCCTCTCAGCCCCTGGTTCTGTTGAAGGTTCCTTCTCTCTCACTTTCTCTCTGCATTTGACAGAACCTGGCCCTCAGCCCCTAAAATGTTCCTCCTGCTGACAGCACTTCAAGTCCTGGCTATAGGTAAGAGAAGGGTTGTGTATGACACAAGGGGCTCCCCTGGAGACTCTGAGAAGAGATGGGGAATGGGTCCTTGGGGCCCCTGGATGCTCATGGTGACCTCGTAAGAAAGAGCCGGGAGTGGTCTGGGGATCATGGCGGGGGAGCGAGCTGGAGGCCTAAATTCCTAGTTGTGGAGGTGCTGGGAAATGGCGGGACTGGGGAGAGAGGTGTTTATAAGATCTGGTGCAAAATAAATAAGGAATCGTAGAGAACTATTAGGTCCTGAGTGGGTCATAACAGAAAGATCACAGGGTTCTACCTGACTGTGCTAGGAAAGAAAACGTGGGAAAGATGTTTTGTTGTCAGAGGGAAGGTGGAGAAGGACGATGGGGTGGCGGGATCGTGCTGTGGGGTGTGTGAGGTGGCTGGGGGCAAGTGTAGGGCAAGAGATGGTGGATCCTTGGGGTCCCACTGAGTGGGAACTTTGGGGAAGAGACAGGGAGGTCCTGGAATGTGTTGGGGAAGGACTCACTGGGGGGAAATGTGGCATATTTCGAGAAGTGATCACAGAAATTATGGGAGCGTAGAGCTGAGGGTCGTAGATGTAGCAAGGTCCTGGATAAGGTGGCCATGGCACAAAATAAGAGATGCTACGGAGGTGACTTGGGAGGTGAGTCAGAAAACTCTCTGTGTTGGGGCAATAACGGGGTCAATATGGGACATGTCTCACCCTGGGTGGGATGGATAGAAGTGGGCGGTTTAGGGGTTAGACCAAAAGGAAGGGGATTTGTCAGTTCTGGAATCCTACAAACTTGCGAAGTGGAGAGTGTTTGCTCATCTACTTTCCCCACCCAATCCTGTCCACTCCTAGACATGACACGGAGCCAAGAGGATGAGAACAAGATAATTGGTGGCTATACATGCACCCGGAGCTCCCAGCCGTGGCAGGCGGCCCTGCTGGCGGGTCCCGGGCGGCGCTTCCTCTGCGGAGGTGCCCTGCTTTCAGATCAGTGGGTCATCACCGCTGCTCACTGCGGCCGCCCGTAAGTGACCCCCTCCCCTGTCCCTGTGTCCAGCGAATTCTAGAGTCTAAAGCCCTAGAACTGAGCTGAGAACCTGGATCTCTGTGTAGAACCCAATGTAGTGGCTGGCTCCTGGTTTGAGGTCTAGAGAAGAGCCTGGAACCAAAACCACAGCTCGGGATGTGGACTCCTCCGTAAATCTCGAACTCAGCGTAGGTTCTGAAAGCAGATGGGCAGCTTGGAACCCGTGGGCCTGCTGAGAACCAAACATCTAATCCAGTGATTCATCCAGAGGCCACGCATTACATCAAGACCAAGCTTAGCCCAAACCAGATTGGTGGCTGAATTCAGGACCCCGTCTACATTCAGAAACTAAGGAGACTACGTAGAACTCAGAGCCCAGTTCAGGACCTACAGTCTAGCCATAAATCCAGAACTGAAACCCTGCTCACAGCTGGAACATACAACTCTAAGAATAGAGGCAAAATCTGGAGGCTGTTCCACATCCAAGGTTTCGTTCAGAGTCCAGTCTATAGCTCCGCTATGAGCAGCCTAGAATACAGACTTCAACCCAGTGTTTAAAGCCCAGAATGTGCCTGGCTCAGTGCATGCCTGTAATCCTAGCACTTTGGGAGGCCGAGGCAGGCAGATCACCTGAGGTCGGGAGTTCGAGACCAGCCTGACCAACGTGGAGAAGCCCTGTCTCTACTAAAAATGCAAAAATAGCCAGGTGTGATGGTGCATGCCTGTGATCTCAGCTACTCGGGAGGCTGAGGCAGGATAATCACTTGAACCCAGGAGGCGGAGGTTGCAGTGAGCCGAGATCGCGCCATTGCACTCCATCCTTAGCAACAAGAGTGAAACTCCATCTCAATAAATAAATAAATACATAAATAAACAAATCCCAGAATGGAGATCCTAATCGGAAGCCCCATATAAAACCTAGACCCCTCCTAAATTCTAGATCTGAACTTACAACCCAGACCCCAGCCAAGAAGTCAAAATACCTATAAGCCATGTCTATGCCATAAACAGAAGGTCAGTCTAGAACCTAGAGATCAAAGCTCAGGCCAGAGTCTAGAATATAAAGGCCAGAATGCAAATCAGACTCTAGAATCTTGGATCCAGGCCATAACCTGGAGCTCCAACTAGAACCCAGAGCCCAACCTGAGGTCAAGGGCTCAGATCAGAGTCCAGAACCAAGAGCCCTATAATCCAATATGAAACAGACCTGTAGAATCAAGAGCTCAGACCAGTGTTGAGAGCCCTGACCCCAGCTGGCGCACAGAGCTCATACTGTTGTCTAAGAACGGCTCATAAACCAGAGTTTAATAAGGAACCCAGAGCACCATCCAGAAATCGGAGCTATCAATGTGTCCAGAACCCATAGCCCAGGTCTTAATCCATTGCTCAAAATAAAACCCTCAGCCTATCCCAAAACAGAAACCCAACATCAGACTCTAGGAATTAAGTCACAGCCGGGCACGGTGGCTCGTGCCTGTAATTCCTTTACTTGGGAGGCCGAGGGGGGCGGATCAGTTGAGGTTGGGAATTCAAGACCAGTCTGGCCAATATGGGTGAAACCCCGTCTCTACTAAAAAATACAAAAATTAGCTGGGTGTGGTGGTGGGCACCTGTAGTTCCAGCTACTCGGGAGGCTGAGGTGGCTGAGGCGGGAGAATCACTTGAACCAGGAGCTGGAGGTCGCAGTAAGCTGAGATCGTGCCACCGTACTCCAGGCTAGATGACAGAGCGAGACTCCATCACAAAAAAAAAAAAAAAAAAATCAAGTCATAATCCAGGTTAGATCTAGAATCCTGATCTTAGCATAGAGTCAAAAGTCTAAGATGTCTAGAACCCAGAGCCCAGACTAGAAACGGAATGGAGCCTACTCCAGAATATCAGTTCTGATTTACAGCCTAGAGTCATAATGCAGTTTCACTTACAACTCAAAGCACAGAGCCCAGCACAGACCCTGGAACGGAGCCAAGCTCTCCCAATCATCACCTTCTTCCCAAGCCAGGAGCTGGAGCTCAGCCCAAGAGCAGAAGGAGAGGCAGCTGGGGCTGGGCCGAGAGAATGCCCTGGTCATGGGGAAGGGCACAGGAGGCCAAGAATGCTCGGCCGCCGTTAGTGAGAAGCAGGCTAGACCTCAGGGAAGACTCATCACCTGGCCAGGGAATCGGGCCGGAGGGTGGGGAGGGGTCTCCGGCTCAGACACTGAGCAGCACTTCTCTTGGGGGTCGTGGCCAGGATCCTTCAGGTCGCCCTGGGTAAACACAACCTGAGGAGGTGGGAGGCCACCCAGCAGGTGCTGCGCGTGGTTCGCCAGGTGACGCACCCCAACTACAACTCCCGGACCCACGAAAACGACCTCATGCTGCTGCGGCTCCAGCAGCCCGCGCGGATCGGGAGGGCAGTCAGGCCCATTGAGGTCGCCCAGGCCTGTGCCAGCCCCGGGACCTCCTGCCGAGTGTCAGGCTGGGGAACTATATCCAGCCCCATCGGTGAGGACTCCTGCGTCTTGGAAAGCAGGGGGCTGGGCCTGGACTCCTGGGTCTGAGGGAGGAGGGGCTGGGGGCCTGGACTCCTGGGTCTGAGGGAGGAAGGGGCTGGGGGCCTGGACTCCTGGGTCTGAGGGAGGAGGGGCTGGGCCTGGACTCCTGGGTCTGAGGGAGGAGGGGCTGGGATCTGGACTCCTGGGTCTGAGGAAGGAGGGGCTGGGCCTGGACTCCTGGGTCTGAGGGAGGAGGGGCTGGGATCTGGACTCCTGGGTCTGAGGGAGGAGGGGCTGGGCCTGGACTCCTGGGTCTGAGGAAGGAGGGGCTGGGCCTGGACTCCTGGGTCTGAGGGAGGAGGGGCTGGGGGCCCGGACACTGGGGTCTTATGGGAGGGTAGACCCAGTCATAATCCTGCAGTGCTCCCCCAGCCAGGTACCCCGCCTCTCTGCAATGTGTGAACATCAACATCTCACCGGATGAGGTGTGCCAGAAGGCCTATTCTAAAGCCATCACGCCTGGCATGGTCTGTGCAGGAGTTCCCCAGGGCGGGAAGGACTCTTGTCAGGTAAGGCTCAGGATGGGAGCTGGGGGAGGGATTATGTGGGACTGGGATTTAGGCAGACGATGTCAGGAGCATGGAATTCTGCAGAGGTCTTCAAAAGAGAGTGAGCTGCAGGGATGGAGAGATTCCGATAGCCAGGCTACCCTGCTTCCTAGCCCTGTACCCCCTGGGTAATGGACTCAAAGCATTCATGCCTCAGTTTCCTCATCTGTCAGGTGGGGATAACCCTCTTAGGGTAGTTGGTGGAGTAGGATGAGGCAGGTTGGGGAAAGATCGCAGAGTGGCATCTGCTCATATGGGTCTGGGAAAGGCTGTGCTGAGGCTTCTAGAAATCTGAATGCATCCTTGAGAGAGGCAGAGACGGGGAAATAGAAAAAGAGAGACACACAAGTGTTCTACAGATGGAGCGAACAGAGGGGGGCCCGGTGAGACTCAAGGGACAGGCAGGTGCACACAGAGACAGAGCCAGACCCAGTGGAGGGGGAAGGAAGTGCCCTGACCTCTGGGACTGAGACCTCAGAGCTGGGGCAGGACTGTGTCCCTAACTGTCCACCCCAGAGTCTCTTCCTGTCTCCCTGACTATCTCTGCTTCTTGGGTTCTCTGTGCCATGGCTCTAGCCACCTGTCCATCGGTGTCTCTATCTCTGTTCCTCCCCCTCAGGGTGACTCTGGGGGACCCCTGGTGTGCAGAGGACAGCTCCAGGGCCTTGTGTCTTGGGGAATGGAGCGCTGCGCCCTGCCTGGCTACCCTGGTGTCTATACCAACCTGTGCAAGTACCGAAGCTGGATTGAGGAAACGATGCGGCACAAATGATGGTCTTCACGGTGGGATGGACTTCGTCAGCTGCCCAGGCCCTCCTCTCTGCACTCAGGCCCCAGCCCCTCCTCCCTCAGACCCAGGAGTCCTGACCCCAGCCGCTCCTCCCTCAGACCCAGGAGTCCTGACCCCAGCCGCTCCTCCTCCCTCAGACCCAGGAGGACAGGTCCCAGCCCCTCCTCCCTCAGACCCAGGAGTCCAGGCCCAGCCCCTCCTCCCTCAGACCCAGGAGTCCAGGCCCCAGCTCCCTCCTCCCTCAGACCCCGGAGCCCAGGCCCCCAGCCGCTCCTCCCTCAGACCCAGGAGTCCTGACCCCAGCCGCTCCTCCTCCCTCAGACCCAGGAGGACAGGTCCCAGCCCCTCCTCCCTCAGACCCAGGAGTCCAGGCCCAGCCCCTCCTCCCTCAGACCCAGGAGTCCAGGCCCAGCCCCTCCTCCCTCAGACCCAGGAGCCCCAGTCCCCAGCAATCTGATCTTTACTCCGGCTCTGAGCTCTCCTTTCCCATCAGTTGCTTCAAGCGTTTTCTCCCCACCACGCCCCCACCCTTGCTGTGTCGCCATCACAGAGGAACAGAGGGCAGGAGCACAGACACCTTAAACCGGCATTGCATTCCAAAGAAGACAATTTTTAACACGCTTAGTGTCTCTAAAAACCGAATAAATAATGACAATAAAAATGGAATCATCCTAAGTTGTATTAATTCATCCATTTATTTATTTTTTATATTTTGAGACAAGGTCTTGCTCAGTCTCCGGCTGGAGTGCCGTGACACAATCATGGCTCACTGCAACCTCAACCTCCTGGGCTCCAGTGATCCTCTTACCTCAGCCTGCCGGGTAGCTGGGACCACAGGTGCCTGTCACCATGCCCGGATACTTTTCAAATTTTTTGTAGAGACGAGGTTTCCCTGTGTTGCTCAGGTTGGTCTCGAACACCTGGCCTCAAGCGATCCACCTCCCTCAGTTTCCCAAAGTGCCGGGATTGCAGGTGTGAGCTGTCGCGCCCAGCCTCATCCATTCATTTAATTACTTCAAGAAACAGGTACACAGTGGCCTCACCATGCCCAGCCGGGAGCTGTGTACTGACAAGTGGCTGCCTCCCTCTTTGCGTGGTTTTCCTCGGGAATCCCCCGTCCACCCCACTGTATCAGGTTTCTAGACGGTAACACCTCAGCCCTGCAGAGTGACCTTGAGCACGACTGCCTTCTACCAGCCTCCTCCCTGGAGCCCCTGTGGTCCAGGGCAGAGAACTAACTGCCTTGTTTCCTGGAAAATTCTATGCAAATGAAGATGTCCTCTTTTTCCTAATCAGATCTCAGGTGAGGAGAGTTGAGTTAATCACAGGCTTCAGTTCCTGTCCAGGCAAAGCCTTTCTCTCGTTTTATTAATTTATTTCCACTCTTCATCTCTGGCTGTGCTCCCCTCCCTTCCCACAGGCACCGACACAGATGACTTTGAATGCCCTGCATCCTTGGAAAACAACGCAGTGTCACGGTGTTGTTTCTAATTTACATGAAACCATTGTGTTAGGAATCTCATTCTCTTTCTTACTTTCACTCATCAACAGCTATTGAGTACCTACTACGCGCCAGGCATTGGTCTATTTATTGGGCATCTGCTATGCACCTGGTATTGTTCTGGGTGCTGGAGGAAGCGCTGTGAGCAAGCCAGTCAGAATCCCTGCCCTCACAGAGCTTATATTCTAGCAGGAGATGACAGACAAGAAGCCGTAAACATAATTTTAAAATAAAGCAGAGTCCCTGTGAGTAACGAGGTCAATAAACGTGGGCTGGGCGGCAGGCCCAATGTGTGCCAGGACCAGCTCATACATGCTCGCAGGAGTCTACCGGCAAATTTTCAGGAATTTCGAGAGCTGGTTGCTAAATGCAGCCATTATTAAAAATTAAATTACATAAGCTTATAATTACATAATTGATTGAAAAAATTGTCAGTAAATACTCAAAACTCAACTGTTGCTAATTATTTCAATGAATACCTATGCTTGGGAGTGAGGTATGTCTCTTGTACTACGTCTGTAATGATGAGCTTCTGTACATCTCTTTCCAGCTCCCCAACTCTGTATGCACCAGTAGCTTGACAATAGCCAAAGTAGGAGTATTTACTGCACTGAAATTGAAAAACACTAGAGATAGGGCTTTGCTGGACAGTCATTGCCAAACCTTTACCAGGCACCCTTGGATGGGTCTGCCTGGGAATGACCTAATGATCTTAGTGTCTGTCTTCTCAAAGTTCTGTGCTTGGATACTACAGAGTACAGATAAAATAGAATGTTGTACTCACCTTATGTTCTATGGAGACAGCACAGTATTGGGGAACCCGAAGGTGGCAGGTTTGGGACATGCACGAAAGATTGCTGGGAAGTAGAGGCTGCCTCCTTTTTCCTCATCCTCCCACCCCTTCCCCCAGCTTCTGGTAACCACCATTCTACTCTCTTCTTCTAAGAGTTTGAGTTTTTTAGATTTCACATATAATTGAGAAATTACATGTGATTTCACATATAATTGTGAAATTATATGTGATTTCACATATAAGTGAAAATATAATTATGTATGATTTCACATATAACTGAGATCATGCAGTATTTGTCATTCTATGTCTGACCTATTTCACTTAACACAGTGTCCTCCCGGTCCATCCATGTTGTCACAAATGACAGGATTTCTTTCTTTTATAAGGTAGAATAATATTAAATTATACTGATATTAATATATTACATTTCCTTTATCCACTCATCCATCAACAGACACACAGGTTGTTTTCATATCCTGATCATTATGAATAATGCCACCACGAACATGGGTGTGCAGATATTACTTTGAGATACCAATTTCATTTCCTTGCACCAACTTACATTCCCACCAACAGGGTACAAGGATTCACTTTTTTTTCCCCCACATCCTTGCCAAGGTTGTTATTGTTTGCCTTTTCTATACTAGTCATTCCAAAATGTGGGAGGCGATATCTTACTGTGATTTTAATTTGTGTTTCCCTGATGATTAGTGATAGTGAGCACCTTTTCATATACTTGATCCCTTGTATGTCTTCTTTGGAGAAATGTCTATTCAGGTCCTTTGCCCTTTTTTTTTTTTTCCCGGAGACAGAGTCTCCCTTTTGTCCAGGCTGGAGTACAGTGGTGTGATCTCAGTTCACCGCAACCTCCACCTCCTGGGTTCAAGCGATTCTTCTGCCTCAGCCTCCCAAGCAGCTGGGATTACAGGCATCTGCCACCATGCCCAGCTAATTTTTGTATTTTTAGTAGAGACAGGGTATCATCATGTTGGCCAGGCTGGTCTCAAATTCCTTACCTCAGGTGATCCACCCACCTCAGCCTGCCAAAGTGCTGGGATTTCAGGCATGAGTCACTGCGCCTGGCCCTTTGTCCATTTTTTAATTGGGTTATTTGTTTTCTTGCTGTTGAGTTTTTGCATTCCTTATATATCTTGGATATTGACCCTTTATCAGATACATCATTTGTAAATATTTCCTCCCATTCGGTAGGTTGTCTTTTCACTCTGTTGATCATTATCTGTTGGTTGTTTCCTTTGGTGCACAGAAGCTTTTTCATTTGATACAACCCCATTTGTTTTGTTGTCTGTGCTTTGATATATTTTATTATTTAGATATTTTATATCTAAAATATTATTGCCCAGACAAATGTCAAGAAGTTTTTTCCCCAGGTCTTCTTCTTATCATTTTACAGTTTCAGGTCTTATGTTTAAATCCTTAACCCATTTTGAGTTGATTTTTATACATGGCATGAGATAGGAGTCCAATTTTATTCTTCTCCTTGTAGGTATCCAGTTTTTCCAACAGCTTTTGTTAAAAAGAATATCCTTTTCCTTTGGGTTAAAGATCAGTTGGCAGTAAATGTGTGGATTTATTTCTGAGCTCTCTGTTCTGTTCCATTGATTATATGCCTGTTTTTGTGCCAGTACCATGCTGTTTTGGTCACTATAGCTTTGTAGTATGTTTTGAAATCAGACAGTATGATGTCTCCGGCTTTGTTCTTCTTGCTCAAGGTTACAGGGTCTTTCATGGTTCCATATTTATGATTATTTTTTCTACTTCTGTGGAAAAAAAATGCCATTGGAATTTTGATAGGGATTGCAATGAAAATGTAGATAGTTTTGGTTAGTATTGACATTTTAACAGTATTAATTCTTCCAATTCACAAATATGGGATATCTTTCCATTTCTTTATGTTGTCTTCAATTTTTTTCATCAATGTTTTATAGTTTTCAGTGTACAGATTATTTACTTCCTTGGTTAAGTTTATTTTTAAGCATTTTATTGTTTCTGATGCCATTGTAAATTGAGTTGCTTTCTCAATTTTTTTTTCTAATAATTCATTGTTAGGATGTAGAAACACAACCAAATTTTGTATCTTGCAACTTTACTGAATTCATTTATGAGTTCTAACAGTTTTTTGGTGGACTCTTCAGGGTTTTCTGCATATAAGATATGTCATCTGCAAACAGAGGTAATTTTACTCTTTCTTTCTGATCTGGATGCATTTTATTCTTTTTCATGCCTAATTACTATGGCTAGGACTTCTAGTGCTAATGTTGAATACAAATGGCTAGAGTGGGCATCCTTGTCTTGTTCCTGATCTTAGAGGAAAAGCTTTCAAGTTTTCACCCTTGGGTATGATGTTAGCTGTGGATTTGTCATATATGGCCTCTACTGTGTGAGGTACATTCTCTCTATACCTAATTTGTTGACTGTCTTTATCATGAAATGATGTGGTATTTTGCCAAATGATTTTTCTGTACCTATTAAGATGATCATATAATTTTTATCCTTCATTCTGTTGAGGTATATCACGCTTTGTGATTTGTGCATGTTGAACCATCCTTATATCCCAGGGATAAATCCCACTTGATCATGGTGTATGATGTTTTTAATATGCTACTGAATTTAGTTTGCTAGTGTTTTGTTGAGGATTTTTGCATCTATATTCATCAGAGATATTGGCCTATCATTTTCTTTTCTTATAGTGTCCTTGTCTGAGTTTGTGGAGGTTGCATCTTCTGTGTCAAGGTGATAAACACACACTGTGGGTTTAATACACAGCAGTCATACAAGCCCTATAGGAAAAAGGAGACAAAAG